TGATGGCTCCTGTGATGCTGGTGAAGATGAAGCTGATCCTCCGGGTGCGACTGGCGTTCGTTGGCAGTCGTGATTGTTTACCTCTGGATGAGCCACATGAAGCTCTGATCTTTTGTGCATGTGGGTCAGTTTAGGAGCTGATCTGTTCAGACTGATGTCGCATACAGATCACATTTAAAAGATAATCTGATGAGCCAAATAAAATATTCAGATTTGGTGAGAGAATCAGATTTGGGCCACTTTTACCTGCTGTGTAAATGTCGCCATAGTGTCTATATTTTGAGCCTCAGTTCCTCTTAAGGAGCACTGGCTGATGGGAGCGGTACTGAATCAATTTCAGCGTGAGTGAGAACAGTGGGCAGTAATGCTCCCGTGGACCATTTATGTTAAAACAAAACAAAACAAAAAAAATTTAAACAAACTTTAGACAAAGATGTGACACCTAAGTTGAAAGAGCACAATAACACTTTCTCTCTGAAACCTTGAGTATTGGCCAATAAGGAGCTTTAAAGTAAGCTATGCAAAGAAGGATCTGACTGAGATGAAAAATTAAAACAGATACTGATACTGATTTTAGGGCGCTGTTAATTATTACACCTTCTTGAGTCTCAATTTAGCAATATTGGTTTTTAAATCAATCATATAGAATTCCAAGCACCACAGAAGAGCTCGTCCCCACAGTCATTTGTGAAGGCTGAGGCCAGATTTTGAAGTAAAAAGCATGTTTTTCTGCTATTTTAACTACAACAATCTAAACATGACCATGGAATATATGAATTAAATGATAAAGAAAGCAAATGCCAAACATATACAAAATATATAATGAAAGTTGTGGTCTCCAGGAGTCGTGTCACTGGTGTTACTGCGTAACAAAAAATCTCTTATTTCGAAATAAAAATCACACTGATGACATCACTTCAGTTCCTGACTTCCGTTTTTTTTTTTGTTGTTTTTTTGTTTTATATCTGGCTGTATAATGAAAATAAAGTCGTCCTCCAAAGCAGTGGGGTGGCAGGTAGTGGCTGAAATCATCAGCCAACCACTATTTTGGTTCATTTTTATCAGTTATAATTTACCCGGACCAGCCTTGGCCACACCACCACCACCACCACCCCTTTTTCAGAGGACATTAAATTTTTCCTTTTGATTTCCTTATAAATGTCACAACTCATCATTTATTAATGATCATATAAATATAAGGTGATGTGGTACCACAACCACCCAACCCCCCTCCAAACACCACCCACCCATCCCCTGCTTTGAGTGAAAGACAGAAATAACTGAGAGACAAAACAGAAGAAGTAAAGAGAAAGAATGAAATAATAATAATAATAATAATAATAATAACTCAACAATGGACAAACTAGACATAAAAGGACAGACAAACGTGAGCGTTTAACAGAACAATAAACAGGGTAGAAATGCCCCCGTATGTTTCTTAACACTATAATTATTCCGTGGGTCGCTCAAATTCTTTGTATGGGTTTTAACCTTTTCCTGATGAGTCTGGAGAGAAATCAGCTCTCAATATTTTGTAAAAATTGTAACCAGGTTTCTTTCAATGGTTTTGTATTATTTTTAAAATTTACTGTAAGTCTTTCCTTCCAGTTCAGCAGTATAACCTTTTTGGCAGTGGTAAGTGATATTAATATAAAGGATCTGAGGTGATTTGGGTGCTGAAAGTGAGGAAGGGTCATTAAGTGGTGCTACAATGGGACATAAAGGGATGAGGGATGATAATTTTTTATGCTAACGTTATATTTTGTTATAAGTAAATCTGTGATATTTTGGTAACAGAATCGGTTCAGATTTGTTCTTTTATCTGCTGATATCTGGTCTAGTATTTCAGATCCCGATATCTGGATTTTACTGAACCTGCAAACTGTGATGCAAACATTCCAGGGCAGGACACTGCATTTCTCAGAAAAAACAAACCTGTCATGTTTGCAAGGCTGATATGGGTAACAGGCCACGAAGGACAAAGGTCAGGGCACATGCTGCCTTTAGGACCGGGTTACCACACTAAAAAGAATTTCCAATGATGAATCATCATTAATGCTGCAGGTTAGTCCAAGACTAGGCTTAATCCATCCATGTCTGGGATACCAGCTCTTAGAATTCACTAGTCAATCACTAGCTATAATGCAGTGGTCAGCAACGCTCCTCCCAGAGATCTATCTTCCTGGAGGGTTCACTTACAATCTACATCCAGCCTTTCATTCGGTTAATCAATGACTTCTGAAGGCAATAATTAGCCACATCAGGTGGGTCTGAATGGGTTTGGAGCCGAAGTATGCAGGAAGGTGGATCTCCAGGAGCAGCGTTGGCGACCACTGCTATAATGGCTGAGTGCAGATTTGTACTTTAGCCACAAGGTGGCAGTAAACTCTCACAAGCCAATGCTGAATTATTAAACACAGACTTTTTTCCAGCTTCAAATAATCCAAATGACTTTAGGAGTAAGATATTCAGTCTTTAGTACAGCAAGATCAATACGCAGCCTTTAATGGGGCATACAGAGAAAGGTGTGGACGGAAACTACTGTCAAAAATATTACGCCTTTTTTTAATTATAATTTCAAATTCTAAACTAAAGCACTTGAAGCAATGATTATATATGTACACCAATCGGGCATGGCATTCTGACCACCTCCTTGTTTCTGCGCTCATTGTCCATTTTATCAGCTCCACTTACTATATAGGTGCACTTTGTAGTTCTACAGTTACAGACTGTAGTCCATCTGTTTCTCTGATACTTTGTTAGCCCCCTTTTACCCTGTTCTTCAGTGGTCAGGACCCTCACAGAGCAGGTACTATTTGGGTGGTGGATCATTCTCAGCACTGCAGTAACACTGACGTGGTGGTGGTGTGTTAGTGTGTGTTGTGCTGGTACGAGTGGATCAGACACAGCAGTGCTGCTGGAGTTTTTAAACGCTGTGTCCACTCACTGTCCACTCTATTAGACACTCCTACCTTGTCAGTCCACCTTGTAGATGTAAAGTCAGAGACGATAGCTCATCTGCTGCCGCACAGTTTGTATTTTTCATTCTCTAGTGCTTTATCAGTGGTCACAGGACGCTGCCCACAGGATGCTGTCGGCTGGATATTTTTGGTTGGTGGACTATTCTCAGTCCAGCAGTGACACTGAGGTGTTTAAAAACTCCAGCAGCACTGCTGTGTCTGATCCACTCAGACCAGCACAACACACACTAACACACCACCACCACATCAGTGCTACTGCAGTGCTGAGAATGATCCACCACCCAAATAGTACCTGCTCTGTGAGGGTCCATGGGGGTCCTGACCACTGAAGAACAGGGTAAAAGGGGGCTAACAAAGTATGCAGAGAAACAGATGGACTACAGTCTGTAACTGTAGAACTACAAAGTGCACCTATATAGTAAGTGGAGCTGATAAAATGGACAATGAGCGTAGAAACAAGGAGGTGGTCAGAATGTTATGCCTGATCAGTGTATGCAATTATACACCCACATAATTGGTTTGTAGTGCTGTGCAATATGATAATATTTATCGTTATTGTGATAAATTACATCACAATATGTCACAACATGCTTTCCTGACCACGTTATGGGGATTACTTAATAATCACCTGCCAACTACTGTATGTTTAATTACAAAGAGAGCACATTTAGTCCTGGATTAAGTGCAGTGCAGTGTGTAAAATGTTGAATTTAACTAATTGGATTCATAGTTTTTGATAGTATTTTTAAACGTGGGGCTACTTTTACTGTTCTATCTTATCTGATATAAGAAAAAAATATTATGACACTGTGTATTGTGCAAAAAAGAAAAAAAACCTCCTGAAGTATTGTGAAATTACATTTTGTCGTCTCATCCACCTCTATGTTTGCTCTTAATCTTCTCTCAGAAGTATATCGCTGTTGTGGGAAGAAAACTTCGTTTTTCAGTTTTTGACATAATGTGAAAATACCTGTTGCCCCTTGCATTGTGTGTGAATTTCATGATGAATGGACTAAAAGAAACAACCCAAAATGACTTGGAAAAACGTCTGGTTCCACTGACTCACATTAAAAGTGAACTAGGTTTTTTCCCTCTCCTGTAAAGTTGCCATTTTGGAGATACGAGGTTTTCTTCCGACAACAGCGACATGCAAAAAAGACTATGAAGTCATGCACTTGCTGTTTATCAGCTAAATATACACTGAGGAAGAATCAAGTCTTTAATTTAGGGATTTACTAATCCATATAAACATGTTATATATTCCCAAATAAGGCGTCACCAAAATCTGATGTGTATTCAGTCATATTTTAACAGGCCTACAGTGCCCAAAAAGCACAAAGATCAGCAGAAAACACACAAAATCAGACCTAATGCTTCTGACTTTCATCAGATTTCTATATTTAGCTATTATATTCCTATTCAGCTTCAATTGATGACATTGAGCGGGCAAAATGTTCCCCAAATGTCAAAGGTATACGGTTTCAGGAGTTTGGCTAGAGTCTCCAAACTACTCTGACCACCTTCACACCAACAGACAGGCTATTCTGAGGGTTTATTAGAAAGGAAGTCTCTGCTAAACCTCACTGGAACGTTTTTTGGGGACTGATTTCTGTGGTCAGATGATACAAAAACAACTTTATAGATCTCGCCTTCCTCTGAAACAGGAAGACAGGAAGTCATGAGTCACTGCTAAGGAGGTCTAACTCTTAAACATGCACAAAAATGTAATAACTGAATGGAAATATACAATAAATTGCCAATATATTGTGATATATTTTTGGAGAATATTAAAGAAAATCACACTGATGTTTTTTAGGCTGTTCCGTCTGGTTAAAAGCAAATTCTTGATCATGTTTTCAGTGTCAGATCAAGATGATGAACAGTAATAGACGTGTGTGCAGCTTTTATAGCAGCCATGCCAGTGATCATGGTTATGAATCCGTTATAACGTTACACTGAAAGCGTCGCATCCCACGTGGAGTAGAGCTTTAAACACCCAAACTGCTGGTGGCGACTTACGTGCAGACGGTGCTTTACATGTAGATGCAGGCCGGACCGGTCCGACATCAGTTTCTCCCTTCTTGACTGGATCTTCTAGTTTGGTCCGGTCCTCCAGCCCCGCGGTGCTCACCCGCTCGGTGTCCGGCTCCGGGTGCCTCGTGGCCCGGTGTCTGGCGAGAGCATCCTGCGCTCCTCCGGCCAAGTCCAGAATATCATCGTCGTCCAGATCGAACGTCTCAGTGGTGTCGGGGTCCTGTGGAAAGTTCTGCGCGTCCATAAAGTTCTGCTGGTTCTCTACTGGGTCCTGCAGCAGTTTCGCTTCTCCAGTTGTGGAGCTTATTTCGTCATCCATCGCGGGAAAAGTCTGAGAATGCGCCAAAATGTAACTAATAGAGTGAAGCTGAATGTTATCCTTAGCGATCAAAGGGTTTTGTCCAGTTTGCCGAAACCCAGTCGAGGGTTTTTGATTTTTTTGGGCTCAAAACGTTTGAAGTCCAGAAAGAGGAACAACGCCACAGAGCGGAAGTGTCGGACAGTACAGACTTTTGATTGGCTGTGGGGTTAGAGGGGGCGGAGACAGGAAGGATTGCGCATTCCAATCGTGCTGACAGCGGAGCGGGTTTAAGGGGCGCCTCTCTTGTTATATCAAAATCGAAACGCCAGAGGGCGACCGCGAGCAAGTCCCCAGTGAATGGGGCTGAAGGCAGAGAACTTGTAGAGCAGAGGCCTGTAATTAAAATGCAGTAAGGTCCAGTCAAAGGAAATTTCCTCAAGCAAAGGTCCGAAACATCAGAATGTCTAACTTGCAATATGATTCGGTGCCATATACTGTTTACTGAAGTAGCCGAGTAGGTATATCAGCATCTTATACAGTCGACAACTGAACGTCGAATCAATTAAAGTACAATTCGGTAACATTTTAACAACATTTATTGTCAGTTTTCTCTTTTTAGAGTACGGCATGTAAAACAGAGGTCAATAATAGGCGGACCGTGGTCCGAGTCCGGACCCAGACGCTGTCCTATGCGGACCTGGACCTATAACTGATAAACTATGGAGAATTCTTTAATTTCGACGGGGTGGTAACTTTTCTAGCATTGACGGTACGGCTTTAGCGGCCCGGGAGACTCAGACCGATCGCATGCGATCTGTGCATTACGATGAGCACTGAGACTCGAGTGAGTGACGCACACACAGGGGAGGGACGAGGCGAGAAACAGCAGTCAGAGAAGAAAGTGAGCCGGATTATTTTCCATGTCGTGATCTAAAAAGAGAAAACTGACAATAAATGTTGTTGAAATATGACTGAATTGTACTTTATTTGATTTGACATTCAGTTGTTGACTGTATAAGATGTTGATAAACCTACTAGGCTACTTCAGTAAACAGTATATGGCACGGAATCATGATGCGAGTTAGACATTATGATGTTCCGGACCTTTACTTGAGGAAATTTTCTTTGACTGGACCTTACTGCATTTTAATTAAAGACCCTGATGTAAAAAAATCTGGCTCACTTTCTTCTCTGACTGCTGTTTTTCGCCTTGTCCCTCCCCCTCCGAGTCTCAGTCCTCATCGTAATGCACAGATCTGATTGGCTGAGTAGCGTAATGTGTGATTTTTACAACACATGCGATTGGTCAGCGAGTCTCCCGGGCTGCTAAAGCTACCGTCAATGCTAGAAAAGCTACACCAATTAAAATAGGACCACCCCGTCGAAATTAAATAATTCTCCATAGTTTATCGGTTATCGGTCCAGGTCCGCATACGACAGCGTCTGGGTCTGGACTTGGACCACAGTCCGCCTATTAGTGACCTCTGTTGTAGACAGTTGCATTACCAGGGCCAGTTTATGAGGAGTCTGGCCACTTCCTATTTCCCCCATTATGTCGAAAACAGGACTGCTAAACAGCAGAGGACGCCCGTGAGCGAGTCCTCAATGAATGGGAGTAAATGGCTCAATGGCTAAAAACAAAAAGTTAAAATAGTTTCTAATCACTCGCCCAGAAAGTAGAAGGATGTATTTCACTAAAAAAGCAAAGTAAACTCACCTGTATGTTTCCTTTATTCTACAGCAAACGGGTTTTGAGCAGCAGGAGCCAGGCATTACTGCTACTGAGTGCTGACCGGCTGGCGAGCAGAGCAGCTCATTGGCTGTTCTCGCTCACAGACATCATGGATATACATGACTTGTAGAGAGGAGAAGTTCCCCTCTGCAATGTCTTCAGGGTTTCTCAAACGCTAGAGGGCGCTCCCAAGCGAGACCAAAATGAACGGGTTAATATGGAGCTTTTGAGCAAAATCATAGTTTATAAATGCTTAAACAGTTTAAATGTAAAATAATGCAATAATTTCCTGAACACAGAGCAGCATAAAACATTTAAACACTGCTGTGATATTTTTAAGAGCTTTTAAACTCGAGTTATAGGAGTTTAAAACGGTGCCTCATGTACGTTGATGACGTCTGTGAGTGAGAACAGCCAATGAGCTGCTCCGCTCGCCAACCAATCAGCACCCAGTAGCAGTAATGCCAGCGTTCTGCTGCCCAAAACCTGTTTGCTGTAGAATAAAGGAAACATACAGGTGAGTTTACTTCGCTTTTTTAGTGAAATACGTCCTTCTACTGTCTAAAATTAAAGGAAAGTTCTGGGGGAGTGATTAGAAACTATTTTAACTTTTTGTTTTTAGCGGTTTAGCCAGAGCCTGTTACACTGGTGCCCCTCAGGGCTGTGTGCTTAATTCACTGCTGTTCACTCTACTGACTCACGACTGTACTGCAAAGTACAGCTCAAACCACATCATCAAGTTCGCTGATGACACGACTGTGGTGGGTCTGATCAGCAAGAATGATGAGACCACATACAGAGAGGAGGTGCAGCAGCTAACGGACTGGTGCAGAGCCAACAACCTGTCTCTGAATGTGGACAAAACTAAGGAGGTGGTTGTTGAGCTCCGGAGAGTGCGAGGTGACCACCGCCCACTTAACATCACTGGCTCTGCTGTGGAAATCGTCAGGAGCACCAAGTTCCTCGGTGTCCACATCACAGAGAACCTCACCTGGTCCCTCAACACCAACTCCATAGCTAAGCGAGCCCTGCAGCATCTCTACTTCCTGCAGTGACTAAAGAAAGCTCATCTCCCCCTCCCATCCTCACCATGTTCTACAGGGGGACCGTGGAGAGCATCCTGAGCAGCTGCATCATCGCCTGATTTGGGAATTGCACCGTCTCCAACCGCAAGACACTACAGCGAATAGTGAGGACAGCTGAGAAGATCATCGGGGTCTCTCTCCCCTCCATCATGGACATCTACACCACACGCTGCATCCGCAAAGCCACCAGCATTGTGGACGACCCCATCCGTCCCTCACACTGACTTTTGTGTATATCCTACCTCAGTAACTGCTGTGCTCACTTATGTCATCACCTGACTGCGTATACCTTCATATCACAGCATGTTAAATATCTCTGCACCTTATTCTCACTACCTCCTGCTCAGAAATGAGTGCTGTCTCGGTGCTGCACTGTCCTTTCTGTTTACTGTGTCTAATGTCTGTTTTAATTATTGTATTTATTGTATTGTTTCTAGTTTAATGATTTGCACACTCACGTCTGCACGTTTGCACTTTGTCTGTACTGTATTATTTTGTTCCGTGTTGCACCATGTTGGTCCTGGAGGAGCGTAATTTCGCTCCACTGTGTATTTGTATACAGATGGAATAACAATAAAAGCCTCTTGACTTGACTTGACTTGAAAACACAGCTTCATAGATTTTATCTCCCTCAGAAACAGGAAGACAGAAAGTCATGAGTCACCTGAGTCACATGAGAGTCACTAAGGAGCTCCTATAGAAGCAGTTATATTTTGTTTATAGCCAATAACTTGTGATACATTTTTGGAGCATATTAAAATAAAATTACATGGGTGTCTTTGAATTGTTCTATCTGACTAAAAGCCCGAATTCTTGATCTTATTTTCAGTGTCAGGGTTAGATCCAAACCAAGTTTACATATCAGGTTTACATTTAAACCATCATTTTAAGCCTGGATTACTTTTATGATGAATGTAGGTTAAATTTACTCCACTTGCACCTTTACTTTAAAATCAAGTATTTTACTTGACAAACGCAGAATTAGTAACTGCAAAACATGTGTGCACAACTGCACCTTTCATACAGAGTAGCATACAGAGTGTTTGTGTTTGAAATATTTTAATTCAAGTTACCAACAGGTTTTATGCATCGATCAGGCATAACATTATGACCACCTCCTTGTTTCTACGCTCATTGTCCATTTTATCAGCTCCACTTACTGTATAGGTGCACTTTGTAGTTCTACAGTTACAGACTGTAGTCCATCTGTTTCTCTGCATACTTTGTTAGCCCCCTTTTACCCTGTTCTTCAGTGGTCAGGACCCCCATGGACCCTCACAGAGCAGGTACTATTTGGGTGGTGGATCATTCTCAGCACTGCAGTAACACTGACGTGGTGGAGGTGTGTTAATGTGTGTTGCGCTGGTACGAGCGGATCAGACACAATGGTACTCAGTTTATTTCTGGCTGATTCCAGGTTGTTTAGCAGTTCTTCTGTCACAGCTGTCACAGAAAGTTAGTGGTAGCGGGGAGGATTGAATCCTACCTCTGTGAAGCTGGCCCCCCATGTGGTCAGAAATGGAATAAAAATACTACTATTTGTTAGTGCTGTGTTTGTGCCATAGGAATCATAGATTCCGCTGGTAGTGTTTTGAGAAATTAAACATATATTATTTATATTTTATTATTTATGATGTCATTCAGCCACCCATCAACGTATAATTGGAACAAAAATTGTCTTATTTGTTTGTGCTGTTAAAAGAAATATTAGTGCTATTTTAAATTTATAACCTGATAAATACAAACATAGCATAAGCTTCTTTTAAAAGCACAAACAAGCACAAAGGATTGAGACCATTTTGGCATGATTTGGACGTTGATAGTGGGCTGAGTCATTGATACCAGCTGAGTCAGAGCAACGTACACGTGGCTGCGTGAACTCAAGACTGAAGGGAGAGCAGCATGTGGGCACCCCTTGAGGAAGGCACCCAGCCCTAGTTGTCAGCAGGCCGTCTGGACATTACACATTCTAATAATCCCAACTTCAGCATGTGGGTCTTTAAGTGGTATTGCTTATGAATATAGGAGTTAACATGGAATAGTACTGTGCTTTACACCATTATTTCAAATTTCCTTGGGTCACAGTGAGGACCAGTGCTTACCCAAAGCAATGGAGTTTCACATAATTTATTAAGACAAAGGCTGCATTTTACAACCAATCTATAGGTGGTGCCCGATCTATTTGGCAGGAATTTCACTGAATAAGTATTTTACGCTATTACATAAATATATGTGCATTACAAAGAAACATATGTACCGCTGCTGGTTTACCTTAGAGCCAGGGCTACTGTTAGATATTGTTCTTTCTGGGTTACTGTCTCTCCTACATTGCAAACTGTTGTGTAGAGTGAACATACCTTGCCTAAGTCTCTTTCATACCTTTCT